TCGTTTGACAATCAATCGATTGATCGATCGATATGTTAGTGGAACATAAATCATTTTAATAACTTAACAACGATTACATTGTATACGATTTACTATTCGTGTCAGACTAATCGCGTGACACTTGTACCTTATACCACATTCAGAATAATAAAAATCACCGGCGGCTATTTACACCGTCCGTTCTTCTCCATACTAACAGTCCTGAATTGAGCACGAGTAAGATGTGGCGTAGTGCCAAATACATATAACGGTTTGGTAATTCCAAAGTCAGGCATTCGTATAATGAGTACGTACATACCTAATAGTGACCCATATAGAGAAAAGAGAGACCTCGAGACCTCCTCTCTTCTCGTTCGTACGTACTTACGTACGTTTACCCCGTACGTTTCTCCTCATTTCCCCCTCCCCCCTCCCCCTCCCCACCCCCACCACTTAAATCTTCTTCTCCTCCCCCCCCTTTAACATCATTTCACTCCCTCTTATTCTCTCCGTGATCTTTCTACCAAAAAAAAAAAAAAAGAAAAAAAAAAAAGAAAAAAAAGAAACGAAAAAAAATCTTTCTCTCCCCATACAACATCGTGATTTGAACGAACCCACTTCGAAATACTTTATTGGCATACTAAAACAATACGATAAATTCTCTCTTCGTTCGAATGATTTTCTATAAATCTGTAAAATTAAAATTCGTCTTCTCTGTATAATAATAGAAAAAAAAAAAAAAAAAAAAAAAAGAAATGAAAAAGAAATAATATTATGATCCTTCCGAACGACAATAGAATTGATTTCAATAATCTTTCGAAACGTTCGATTCTTTCGTTCGTTTGTTTTTCTTTTTTCTCTTTTTGTTTGTTTGTTTGTTTGTTTTTTTTTCCTTTTTCTTTTTTTCCTCGATTAAAAATTCACTCCCTAAAATTGGAACTACGAATAGAAATGGTAAAATAGGAGAATTAGTTTCATTTGTCATTTCGTTAAGAAAATAAAAAAAAAAAAAAGAAAGGAAAAAGAAATGATTAAATCGACACGTTCGTTAAACATGTTATACATATTTACAAAAGAAATAGAAGAGATAACGTAACATAAATCTAGATTTACGAGTATGTTCCATGTATCATAGAGTAAGCGAAGTAATATGTGCACGTGCGATCTATATTAATCTATCTTTTGCACGATATCGATCGCATGGTAATTGATTGCTAGGAAGCAACCAGACAACTCGATAGTGAAACCGTGCACGTTGCACTTTCTCAATGTGGTCTGGAACGTACTTAAACTGGATCATCGGTCATTGATCTATACTTCATCACTGGTAATGTACTTTCTAATGTACGGATTAATATTTGACGTATAAAAATATAATATATGTATATATCTCGAGATTATATGAAATATCTAAATCATAGAAAATATGAATGATTATAAATTTCATTTTTATAAATTTCCCATGTCTAACGAGAGTAACAAAAAGTATTGTCTCGTATGATGATAAGAAAGTGGATACCACGTGGTCCGTTGTAACACTACCTTTACCATACACGAGACAGGTAATTTTACTCTCACCGAGAGAGAAAGAGATAGATAGATAGATAGATAGATAGATATAGAAAGAGATAGGGAGAGAGAGAGAGAGAGATTAATATCACTAGTAGTGTCATTAACGTATCAGCGGAACTAAATTGCTTTGCTCGTCGTAGATATAATAACTCAATCGCTGACGTAACAAAAATTGGATTAAATTCCATCGCACGATATTCCTTCGTTAAGTTATATTGACAGTGAATCTAACGTAACGTGACCTATCATTAAATTATTCTCGAACAACAAATAATGTCATTTACAATTTTATATACGGATCAATTTCTAATTTGCTATTGTTGAATATAGATACTGGTACCTTACGTTTTTTCTCTCCGGATAGAATTCTATCTAATCGATGCCTTGTCTCGTTTCTTCCTTTTCAAATATTCCAGAATCGATGGGGTAGGAGCGGGGTAGTGGTGACGGTGATGGCAATGGCAGTGGTAGTGGTAGAGGAGGGGGAGAAAAAGAGAGAGAGAGAGAGAGAGAGAGAGAGAGAAATAACGAAAGAAATGGAGAAAAATATAAGGGAGGAAAATACGAAAGGATCCGAAGGAAGAGAAAGTAAAGAAAAAAAATATATATATATATATGTACATATAATTATACACGACACTTGACACGACGTGAATTAAATCTGTTCAAAAATATTTTCTCTTATTTGTTCTATTGTTTTTTTTTTGTTTTGTTTTGTTTTGTTCTTTCTTTTGTCTTTTCTATTTTTTTCTTCCTTTTTTCTTTTTTTCTTTTTTTTTTCTTTTTTTACTTCTCCTTTTTCTCTTTTTTAAATGAACGAGTTTAGAGATCACGCGAAGTGTCACCTAATAATTATCTCGATCGCGATCCCAAACGCGTATTGATATTGATTAGATCAGAATAATAGCCGCAGTTTCGCGCGACGACACGCGGTTGCGGCGATTACGGTTGCGATTGCGGCAACTGCGGCCTGTCCGCGATCGCGAAGGTGCACGCGAGAACTCGTCGACTCGGAATGGGATACACCTGTCCGATATACAGAGTATACTACAAACTTGCCGGCCCGCCCCCTGACCCAGACACACAGTACAGTTATATAGGTCCCACACGAGGAGAGCAGAGGATATATCTCCTCGTTCGATCCTGACGACCACCACGCGTGCACCTCCTCCTCCTCCTCCTCCTCCTCCTCCTCCTTATTCTCCACCTCCTTCTCTTCTTTCTCTTCTTTCTCTTCTTTCCCACCTCTTTACTTACCGAGTGGTCCACCACCACTCGTACGAGTTGTTCACATTCGAAGTCCGATGACAACAAGGAGCATATTTCTTTTTCCTTGAGAAAGGGTAAAGGGGAAAGGGGGAAGAGAGTTAATAGAATCTCATGAATTTTGTGAATTTATAAAAATCATTCTGATAAGATCATAGATATTTTTTTTTCTTTTTTTTTATTTTTTTATCAATTATTTCTGTTCTTTGGATACGTTATTGGATCGTAAATTCTTTAATTAAATTGATAGAATAAGATAATAACATGTTATTAAAGGAAATATTTCATCGTTAAGAATCTTGAAGAAACATTGTTATATAAATGAAGGCTGAACTCGTTTAAGAAGATTCACAGCATTATTAGAGAGAGAGAAAGAAGAGAGAGAGAGAGAGAGAGAGAGAGAGAGAGAGAGAGAGAGAAAGAGAGAGAGAGAGAGAGAGAAAAAAAATCTTTATTTTATTTTTAATTAATAATGTTTCGAAAAATTCTATCCTATTTGGGGACAATATAATCACATCTTTTATTTAACAGCTCATTAGTATTATATTTTTACAATGTGAAGATTTAATTTCTAGGCCATGAAAAGCCCGCCTCAGAATAGAAATGCGCGTCGAAAGCTTCCATCGATCGTCACTGGCGCTGATGTTGCAGAACAGTAAAGACATAATACTTTTAAGAACTTGCATATTTTAAATTATTAAATTTTAACAATTGCATAAATATAATGCAAGCATAATTAATAAAACTCAATAATATTTTATAAAATCGTTTAAACATATAAGCATATATATATATATAGGAATTTAAATGGAAAATTGTTACACAATTATATTAATATTTCCTTACAATTGCTCGTCATATTAATTGAATATTTGGATATAAATACAATAATACAAATCATTATATTTATATTCATATATATACAAATACACGCACATATATGTATGTATATAAATATCTTATAATTATAAAAATATTTTTTACAAATGAATATATCTGCGTTAAGGCATTTGCATAAGTTCATACGGTACTGATCGATTAAGTTTCCACAAGTGACACTAGAAGACGCTATCATCGACTCAATCGACCAATCAGATTGCATACTCATCAATTGAGCGGTATCTGGTTTGCTAAATAATAATCTTTAACGTAAGATAACGTAACGCAAGTACTAACTATCGAGCTAATGGCTATATTAAATTTGAATTTATATTTTACTTATTTTAAAATAAAATTGTTTTAATTTTGATTTAATTGATTTTTTTTAATCGTCAAAATATTTTTCTCAATCTATATATATCGAAAGAAATTACGTTAGTTTTTGCTTTAAAAATATGCCTATTTTAGAATCTAATATACGAAAGGAAATTATGTTAGTTTTTGTATTAAAAATTTGTCAATTTTTGGAATACGACGTAGATCTATTTTTTATTTATTTGATTTCTATTCATTACATATAGCCGAGAAATGTGGATGATCGTTCTAATACAATTGTTAGTTATTCTCAGGGTAACGTGAATAGATGGTACGACGTACGAAGAATAATATATGTATTTAAATAATAAAATATATCTAATTGTTAATTCGTTCAAATTGAAAAATGTTTTAACGATTAAACAGGTTATTTTCTGTTTACGATAATTTGATCTTTATTTTTATCTAATATTTACAATTGCATTTACACAAAATACCTACATTCCTTCTTCCTGCGTATTTACATTTAAATTACAATATATAATTAAAATATGTTGTACGTTATAGCCAATCCGCGAGCTGTTCCAATTGTTGCCATTTCTGTAAATAATAGATATCCAAGTCGTGTATTTCACCAACACGATCTTATTATTAATAACAATTATAACAGCCAATATTTGTTCTCTTTGAATTTATCTTCGTGTAGAAAATGAAAGAAAGTACAAATTTCTAAGAGTCTTCTGCAATATATCACACTGTCGTTTCGCAGATTGTTATCATTTTGCGCTTCTTAAAAATTGTATTATCTGCATTTCTATAATTGACAGGTCACGAAATGTACAATATTTCGTACACAAGAATGATGCCTACACCAGATAAGAATGACATACATTATTTTACACCATGATCAATACTAATTATAGCGAGTGTCGTGAGCACGTGACAATTTCTATATACTAAAAACGTTAATGCACAGGAATAACCATACGTTTTTTTCTTTTTTTTTTCTTCTTCTTTTTTTCTTTTTTTTTTCTGTGTTTTTCTTTCTCCCTCTCTTTTTCCCATTACACCGTTTGCGATGTTAATTACGTGCTTAACACATAATGTGACCATAAATTGTATTTGAGTCATCTCGAACGTCGATCTAAAATCACGTATTGCGAGTGCAACAATATTTACCCTAAGGTATCATTTCTAAACTTAGTTTGCTTTCTGTCTTTCTTTCTTTTTTTTCTTTTGTTTTTTTTTTTTACGAAGAACACTTTTAAGAAAAATTACAATTAATAATGCATTTTAATGACGTTAAAACACATTTCGATATTGTCTTTCGTATATTGCGCCATATATTTACTTTAAAGATTAAAAAAAATATTTTAGAAATCATCATTCGGATTAAAAAATTCTTAGCTTAACAGTAAATTATCGAGTTTATCTATTCGCAAAACTTCACTTATTCGAATCGTTTCCTCTAACAATTAGTCGATTATTGCATTGCAATACAGGCGTAAAATAGTTACGCTTACTTTTTCTTTTTTGTTTTATTTTTTTTTTCTCTTTTTTGCTTTTTTTGCGTTTTTTGCTTTTTTATGAAAATGCTCTTTGCGTATCTTTTCACGTTTCTATTAAAAAAGACAAAAAAAAAAAAAAAAAAAAAAAAAAAAAAAAAAAAAAAAAAAAAAAAAAAGGAAAAAAAAACACAAAGAAAAAAAAAAGAAAAGAAAAAAAAAATTAAAAAGACCCATACTTCTGTTGAAAGAACGGTCGTATATCTTTTTTAACGTAACTTTGGTGTTTTACTTAGAAAATAACGAATGACTGACTACGCGACTACAGTGAACCAGCACCGAAAGAGAAGATATTATTTAGGAAATTGTCGAATGTGTGCCGTATCTTTACTTTGTGTATCATATGTGTATATATGTGTGTGTGTGTGTGTGTGTGTGTATGAATGATTGGATGGTGCTTGGGAGTGTTGCAAAAAATGTTGATTAAAGAGAATTTACATAGTCATCATCGCCATAATGTTACCAATAATACTTTTTTTTCTCTCTCTCTCTCTCTCTTCGACAAAAGAGTAAATATATATGTATATATGTGTATACGTATATATTAAGAATTATCATCACACTGTGTTACTCAATCTCGTGGCTACGTTTAAAATAAGTATTTTTTATTTTATTTTTTTATTTTTTTTTTTTTTTATTTTGTTTTGTTTGTTTTTTTTTTCTCTCTTTTTCTCCCCCTTTTAAATAGGCGTTATCACGTAAGAGCTTTGAAAAATATACGTATGTCGCGCGACAAATAGTTTCTCTATTAACGATTAGACAATATTCGCGGCATATATAACATATAGAATTTTTTTTTCCTTTTTTTGTTTTTTTCTTTTTGTTTTTTTTGTTTTTTTTTGTTTTTTTTGTTTTTTTTTTTTTTTTTTTGAATAAACTTCCAATAAACAGCTTGTTTTAATTATTTAATACAGTTTATCTTCTCTCATAATGAGCGCATTGAGATTCGTGATATTTAATAAAGACAAAGAATGCTTTGATATTTTATTATTTCTATTTTGACTATTTCCCCAAAAATGTGTATGTATGTGTGAATCGTCAACGATGTTACGTTACGCGAGAGCAGAAGCAGGTAATGAGCTATGTTTCGGTTTAGTTTTGTTTAAAAAAACTTTGATGAACCCATTGAAATCGGCGCTTACGAGAACGTGTCCACCGCATCCTTTGGTACGTTGTTCTACAACAGGATCAACTGGTGCATTGTTCACGTTAGAATTTCCTATACTCTTTGGATCATCCTTTCCCTCCCACTGCTCTCTCTCCTCTATCTGTTTAATGATACTATCTGGATTTGGTGCAAATACGGCACACGTTACAACGGCATTATGTGCTTTAATACCTTCCCAAAAGTCATTACGGTCTCTACGAACGCTAGAAAATTTCGAATAATCATGATGCGTCTTCCATATATAAATGCATTGATTTTCTGAACCGCTAACTATATATTGACCATCCGGACTGAAGCTCGCTTTGATTTGACTGCTAACGTTAACGTATCCCTTGTACTTGCAGGATAAATTTAAATCTCTTAAATCGTAGAGACGTATACGGCTATCGTTTGAAGTAACCAAGATCTTGTCCTCTCCTGGCATCGGTTCGATACCACTTATTTTACGACCGGTCGAATTCTTACCTCTTGTCGAACGTACGTCTATTTGCGTATGATATTTTAATTGATCGGTATTATAAAATATACATCGACCATCGTAAGAACCAACTACAGCGAATTTGCCATTTTGACAAAAGTTCGCAGCTGTTATTAATTTCGTTTGGCCGTCTACCTCATTCCAAACAGCTACCTTTTTATCTGGTATATTCCAAAGGCGTAGTTTACCGTCCAGCGAGCCGGAAAGGAAATATCGATCATCTCGTGGATGAAACACTATAGCGGTTACAAAGTCAATATGTTGAAAGCAACATAAACATTCCTTTCTTGATATATGCCATAATCGTACGGTTTTATCCATTGACGATGATAAAACGAAATAGTTCTTTGACCATGATACGTCAAGTAAATCTGACGTATGTCCTGTATACGTACAGAATGGCTTTGGCATAAATGGACTCTTTGTTCCTTCTATCTCACTGAAGGCACTCGCTACGACGTTAGGATCCTCCATTGATTGTTGAGATACTAATGATTCTTGTGAAGGCGTTGGACTGACCTTTTCCGCGTTATACTTTGTTCTCATATCTTGAAAATACGTAAAAGCATCTCGTAATACCCATATTCTTAAAACACGATCCTGTCCAGCGGTTGCCAATAATCTACCGCATGCTGAAAATTTCATACACCAAACGGGACCAACGTGTTCTCCGCTAAGATCTTGAACGTGTTGTAAACAACTAAATTCGTATGGGCCTTTGTGACTGTTCGATGCTTTTAATTTAATGTATTGTTGCTCACCGGGATAAACATCATCGAGAATTTCCATCACGTCCTCTTTGTGTCTAGCGTGTGAAACTTCTTGAGCGATTGACTTTGCTTTGTCCATTGTTTTCTTAACAGTCGATCCTAAGAATCGTTTCAATTTTTGCGTACGCTTACGTACTCTACCAACCGTTACATCCTCATCGGGTGGTATACTCGACATTTTACTATCAACACTTTCCTCGTCACTTTCTTTCTCTTTTTCCAAACTGGAATTACTTATGTATTCCGACGTTAATCTCATAATGTGTAAAGATAAAGGATTAATGCATTGCGGTAATTTATCTTCGGCTATGCTTAATGGCACTCTTTCTCCCGTATCCAAATTGAGCACGGTAACTTGTTCCAATATTTCCTATAAATATTAATTAAGATATATTCGATTAGATTTATCAATGAATTGCTTTTTTCTTTTTTTTTTCATAATTGATATTATTATAAATTGATATTATGATTACCATATCCGTAAGACGTTTTCCCGAATCAGTACGTGTTCTTACGAACATATTTAATTGTTTAACCATATCCTGATCGCCAGCAGATTTTCGTCTTTCTCTAGAACCTTGAGGACTCAAGCCAGGAAGTTTATGAGGACCTAAAGAATATCGACCGATACTGTTGCTAGATATTGATCCCATGGGACTACTAGACTTATCGCTTGATCGTACGCTAAGTAATTCAGCTTTCATTCGTTCTATTCTTTCCAATTCTTCGGTCGATGGTCCTTCGGCTTTTGACTTATCTTCATCCTAAAAATAAAGGATAATATTTTTAAGAAATTCCATAATTTCAATTGTATTTCATTATCTTTTTATTTACTTGTGGTTTCACAACGTATTGTCCTTTGGTCGCTGATCTAATATCAAGAGAATGTTCAAATTCTCTCGTAATAGATTCAATGGTACTTGCTGGACTTGGTAAAGGAGAAGCTGGTACCAAAACTTCCGTAGTAGGTGGCTGAAATTTTTAATATTTTATATGAAGATACAAATTCAATCGTTTAATCTAATTATAAAAAAAGAAAAAAAAAAAAAAAAAAAAAGAAAAATTTCTATAATAGTAATTGAGAAAAGAGATATATCCAAACCATTATTTTCTTACAAAAGATGAATTATAAGGCTGCGTAAAAGGACTATAGAATAGGAATTAGGTGTAGGTCTATTGTTCTATTCATGTAAAAAGAAAATAATAGAATATATATATATATATCTTACAGCAAGATCAGTAGGTGTTTGCACTTTTGATTTCTTCTTACGTCTAGGAGGTGCTATGGGCACGTCTACTTTTGTACCATCCTCCAGGGCCTTTCCATTATTTTTTGTACTCGCGATGACATCAGGTTCTTGAAGCATCATAGTCTTGTCACTTTGCGGACGTGAGACATAATCGCATCTACCATTAACAGAGGATTCCTGAAGGATATCCCCTGATAAGGTAAGGACGCTTGATGACTGAGACAGCTTACCAGATGCAGTATCCTCGTCTTTGCTTGGAATACTAGCAATGGAGGACATCTGGTTTTCGCGAGTAAGAACAGTTGAGCCAGAACACTGAGCTACACCTGGTGCAAGCATCCCAGAAACATTATCCGTTACACCCGCTAAAATTCGACCTACTCGGCCTAAAGAAGTCATACTTTGCAAACTTAGAGTATCATGTTCTATAATTCGGAATGGGTGGGTAGTTTTAGAAGGCATCGGATAAATTCCTTCGATGGAAGAAGTTTGACTATCCGGAGGAGAACTGTTTACAGGAATATCATCATCTTCTGTTTGCATACGTTGTCTCAATTCACGAAATCTCCTTCTACCTACGATCTTATCCGTATTTGTCACTTTACCATCATCTTCCTAAAATGAAAGTTAATAGATCATTAAAATTTATTCAATATAGAAATATTATTAATTAATAAAATATTGTATATAATTACTACAAGTTTATCCTTGCTCTGTACTCTTTCCAATGTTATATTATCCTTAATATCAGAAATTGATTTAGGATCGGCCGGTTTGACGAAAACATCATCCACTATTTCTTTAGTAGAATCTGGTATACTTTGTATTTGTATCTCTGTAGCGTTTGTAGAATCACGCTGTCTGACTTTCCTAGAAATACAATTATTTATTATTATTACATTAAATGATGAAATAGAAAGAACTAGATAATTATCTATGTTAATCATTGAAAATTCTTATGATAATCATTAACTAATAATATATCTTTAACGACACAATAATATCTCATTCATATTATTTATTGAGAGATTAAAACTATGAACAGGTAATAATTTGGATAGGTTCATTACGTAATTAACTAGTTAATTAAAAAGGGATATCTGTTATTTATTAAGATGATATTATAGAGATAAACTTATTAAATAAAAAAGAATTCTGATCAATCGGACAAATAATAAAGAGAAGAGATTTGACTTTGAGATGGATAATTAAAAAGGCATAAAAGTGAAAGAAAAGGAAAAGAGAAAACGGGGGAGAGAAGAAAAGGGGGAAAAAAAAAGAAAAAAAGAAAAAAAAACAGAAAAAAGAAGAAGAAAAGAAAAAGGAAAAGAAAGGAAAGAAAAGAAAAGTAAAAAAAAAAAAAAAAGGGGGAACCATTGATAAAATGAATTACCGGGAGATACGATGGAAGGAATCGTCCTCCGCGTCGAAAAATTCCTCGGAATCGCTGCTTCCAGACATCGTCGTCCTTGCTGAACGATCGCCGATGACACTCTCGTCAGCATCGGTGGTAAAGAAGTCGTAACGCGCGTCACGCGATCGCGAAGGGAATTATCGTCAACGTTGAAGTAAAATAAAATTTAACAGGGAATAATAAGAAATAAGGAGACATCATTCGTTTCGTTCTCTTCAATGAAAAAAAAAGAAGAAAAGAACGAGAACGAGGCGATGTCAATGATTAGGAAGTGTCTATGGGGAAAAACGAATGCGAGGATAAAGCAACGAGCGAGGAACGTATTACCACGCACACGCGTAGTACATAGATATTGGTATTCGAATACATAGCAAATACATTGGATACGTTATACGCACGTCGCGTCGTCGTTTATACGATGGGCAGAGGGTGGGGGGAGGTGGGCTAAGAAGTCAACGGTAGCTGATTGAAAGAGCTAAAAGGGGAGTAAGAAAGGGGAGTGGGGTGGGGGGCTAGTGTGTTGGTGGTGGTGGTGGTGGTGGTGGTGTGGTGATAAAAGAGAAAGAGAGAAGAGTAAAGAGAGAGAGAGAGAGAGAGAGAGAAAAAAAAAGAAAAAAGAAAACAATGCTAGTGTACGACGAAAAGAAAATTTCTATAATATCTTAGGGAAATTAATGTACGATCTGAAGATAGTCAAATTGGTATACCTGTATGTATAAATCCAACGAGAGCGGCTAGTCGTACTATGCGATATTGCGATTGGTCGAACACTACGAGTTTCTTGATCTCGAAACTCGTGCCGTTGCCCGCTCGTCGGCATGCCTGCCGCAAAGGAGGCGAACCGTCACACAAAAGCAAGATGGAGGATCTCACAGTCGAAGTATGCGGCGAAAACGGAGCATATTATAAGGTTCGTTCTGTGGAAAGTATAGAAAATGTTGAGAGGAAGAGGAAGGCCGTGGATAGTACGTGCCACGAGCCGTGAAGGGCTTCTAATATAACGTTATACTCGCTTGTACTTCGCGAAAGCGCGCACCTCAAATGTTCGCGAGGTAACGCGGCTTCCTCCGACGCCATGTCTCGTTTGACAGGGCGTGATTTTTCTTAAGGGTTTCTCTTTTACATATATCGAGATATCCTGCCCCAGGATATATACCGTTTAGCCTCGTACGTTTAACCGTTGCGCGTGGAAACGGTAGCTATCTATGCCTTTCCGATGGCATCGCCTGACGCGTGCCGCTGTCACGTCGAGGTACCAACGATCCATGCCACTCGATGCGTTTTCATCATCCCCTTTTTTTTCTCTCTTTTTTTTTTCTTTTTTTTTTTTTATATATACTTACTATCAATTTACACCTATCTTTCTATTTCTTTTTTCAGGCCTTTGTCACTGATGTCTTTGACGACGAGGTTCTGGTAACTTTCGAAAATGAGTAAGTTACTTCTAGCACTGCTTCAGATCATTTTTCAGATTTACAATATCAAAGGATTTAGCTACTATCAAGAAATAATGCCATCATGCCATAATGTTCATTATTACCTCGTGCTTTTTAATGCAAAAGAAAATGCTTCTTTATGTACAAATTTTTATTTGCTTACAAATAAGCTGACAAATTGAATACCATCTCAGTTTGTATTATTTTCTTTCTTTTTTTTTTTCTTTTTTTCTTTTTTTTTTTAACATGCCCATACCCATGTTTGGTAGTCCAGTCTTGTTGTTTGAGTCTTATGCTTGATCCATTTGATAAAACAAAATAATTTTCTATTTTCATTTGCAATTATATTATTTTCTAATGATTTTATTATTTCATTTAATGCCTATATTATCTGCTATATTGCACAATGCTTTGTTAAATAATCATAAGTTCTTTTTTTTTCTTTTTTTTTTCTTTCTTTTTTTTCCTCCAATGCACATTCACTTGATTTTAATAATTACGTTATTATGGAGATGATACAAATTGTGTTATATTGTGAGATGATACAAATACTTCATTGCTTTTTTCTTTTTCTTTTTTTTTTTTTGTTTGCGTAATGTACAAGCTAATATTACGTAGAGCTTTTGTTTTATATTAATTATATCGCATTGTCAAAAGCTTTAGCATTAAAAAAAAAAAAAAAAAAAAAAAAAAAAATTCATGTTTTTTTTTTTTTCTTTTTTTTTTCTTTTTTTTTATATGAGAAACTTATTCATATCATTAGTACGATTCAATGTTCTATTTTAGCTGGCAACCTGAATCGAAATTCCCATTTGCTCAAGTACGACTACCACCAAAAGATGGTGTCAAAGCAGAATTTCAAGAGAACCAAGAGATTGAGGTATTTTCTCGATCTAATGAGCAAGAAGCATGGGGATGGTGGAAAGCGATCATTAAGGTTTGTTTTATATATATATATATATATATCAATATAGAATGATTAAATTATAGAAAATATATGAAATATATAAACTACTAATGGCATTGTGCAACGTTATGTAATTCATCATTTTTATACTTCAGATGATCAAAGGTGGTTTTCTAGTAGTAGAATATTTGGGATGGGATTATACTTATACAGAAATAATAAGTAATGAGCGGCTTAGAGTAAAAAATGTCAATCCCCCTATTGACAAAAATACGTTTCACAAGATCGAAATTGAAGTACCTGAAGATCTGAGAGAATAGTAAGTAATGATTTAAAATTTTTGATATATAAGATTATAATTTAATTATCTTTTGAATCGTTATTCGAATATTTTTATATGCGATCACGTAAATTTATTCGTTTATCATAACAAATATATGAATTATTTTATTTTACATTAGTGCTAAGATGGACAATGCACATAAGGAATTTCAAAAAGCAATCGGGGCAGCAGTGTGCCGATATGTGCCTGAACGAGGAGTACTGCTGGCCATCTCCCGTCATGAAAATATACATCGTCACAGTACCATGCTCCAAGAAATGCATTTTCGTAATTTATCACAGAAGGTTCGTATTATTTTTTTTTCTTTTTCTTTTTTTTTTTTTTCATCTTTCAAACAATTATAATTAATTGTATTATTTTAATGATACGTTTGAGAATCTTCAATCTTACGTTTTATATTTTTATATACAAATATTATAGGTTTTGCTGTTAAAAAGAACAGAAGAAGCAGCTCGCCAACTTGAATCTACTAAACTTCAGACGATCGGGGGGTAAGTCAATAATTTTATTAATTATTTCGTATATGAATTACCGAGTATGAATCTTGTGACATTCATCACCTGCCCTTATCCACGTACTGTCCTCATAACCATCCTGTCTGTGGTTTGCATTTACTGGCAGAAATATGTTCACAAGATTTTTAACAAATGGCTATCTTTACAAACAGTGTGAACAATATTTAATTCTATTAACTATTAATGATTAAATTATTAATTTAATTATTAGTTGGTTTAATGATTAACAATTCGGGGGTTTTGTTTTGAAATTAATTTTTTTTCTTTTCTCTTTGTTTTTTTCTTTCTTTTTCTTTTTTTTTTTTTTTATCTTTGTATCGTATTACCATTTAAAAATTAATTAAAATGATAATAAATAAATGATCGTGCGGTGTAATTTATCAATGATTTATGTTTCTGTAAAAAAGTTGATTAATATAATTGTTAATTATTAATTGAATGAAATATTGCTCACGACACTGTTTACAAGATTAATATATAACTTTATAAATATATAAAGGCACAATATTATTCATTTTTCATGTACTAATGCAATCTCATTCATCTTTCATTAGTACCATAATTGTAAATAGCACGCATAAAACATATAAGCAAAAGTACAAAGAGAAAATTTATGTGGAGTGTAATTTATTGCATTAATAATTTTACACATAAGCACGTTTCTTTGATAATGTGTAAAAAAAAAAAAAAAAGAAAAAAGAAAGAAAGAGAAAAAGATTACTGCAAGAAAAAATTCTTGAAGAAACATGTTTCTTAGTACAGTATCATTAGTTGTGATTTTCAATTATAAACAAAGTTAAATTACTCCGATGGCTTGATGCATCCCTGTCCATTTAACATACAGTAGGATAAAATGATTGTAAGGAACTATTTTCTACGTTTTGAAAAGTTTTGATTTATGGTAGATCAAAGAATAGGAATAATTACCATAAAAATGGTCAAATTCTTAAAGTATTTCTCTCATATTATTTTTTTACTTCATTTATATGGCATTAAATTTACAAGTTTTTCTCCATACTGTTTGGCAACATATATTTAAGTATATAATTAATGTAATTTAAATGTTACATAGAGATTAAAATATTTAGTTCATTTTCTAAGATTTTTGCTGCAGCCATAATTCAAGCAGTAAGCTGTTTCCTCCCATTGATCATAGTTGAGTAAGTATACAAAAAATGCCAAAATATTTTATAATTTGATGCAGGTATGTGAGTTGATTTTTGACTAATGTAATTAATATAGATAATTCTGTAGATGAGTTGGAACAAGAAATTACACATTCATTAATATTCTTTAGCAAGGAACAAACAGACAGAATGGAAGGGACATAGGGTAGGGCCATCTAATATAGAGGTTTCACTGAGTTACACCAGAGTTTCTTTCTCATTTCAGCAAGTTTAGATCTTCAAACTTTATATATCAGCGTGTCTCAGACTTTGAGGCAGGAGTGAGAACAAATTCAAGGTGAGATCACAGCAGCGTGGTTTAGATATAAGTTAGCTTACTGTATGACAAGCTACACAGCTGTATTTTCCCAATGAAAGATAAAATTACACTATAAATATGCATGCTTCGGCGTTGTGTAGTTCTTTCACAAAAAATCATATGCTTTAAATACACTGATACAAAGATATATATATATATATATATATTTATATTTAATTATATATATATATATATATATTTATATATTTATATTTTTTTCTTTTTATTATGTGCTCCGTAGTCGATTTTGAGTGATTGTGTAAAATAGTAAACTGATACATAAGCGTGTAGCTGTGATCAATTTTTAGTTACAATCTTTATCACTCTTACAGTCAAGTAGAGTTTTAAGTTTATGGATTTATCTTTTAAAAGGAAAACATTAAACCTTGGCCTGCCGATGTTTGAGAAACACTGATATATTCCATGTTTTGCACATATATCTAAATAAATGGTGGCTCTATCCTATGCTGATACATGTACGCGAATATACACATGATACCACATACTGTATATCATCTTATAAATAAAGGGCATTTCCTCCGATGATGAAATCCAGCAATATAAATTAATATTAATCAATATGTGGTGACTACTTTTATCAAAATTTTTCATAACAAAATTTTAACATAGCTTCATCATCTCTTCCTTCAATTCATACACGTTTAACATTTTACTATGTATACCATATATATATATATATATGAATATTATAATATCATCATTTTTAATATTACAGTTTTAATTGACCTTGCATGCCAATTCAATAATTTTGAAATGCATAACTTAGTGTCAATATAAATTTTTGTCAATAATTTAAACATAAATATTTATGCACTTCAATTTTTTTCTCTACAGTAAATGTTAATTTATGTGTGTTCATCTTGCATGATTATTTTCTGCATTACTATACAAGTCGGATAAACTCTCAGTATAATAAGAAAATATTATTCATACGTGATACTTATTATCAGAAGTTATTCACTTGAATCTGCCAAAATGCAAGCCACAGTTAAAAATATATATTTTATAAAACAGACATGTCGCATTTGGCATGTTATGATATGTATATATATATATACATATATATATATATACATATATACACACACATTTATGTATATATATATCTTATTTTATATATTTACTGATATATATATATATAATTAAGGCATGTTATTTTTTATGTGATACAATCATTATCATATTACAATATTGGAGAATTTTAAAAACATCAATTAAATCATATCTTATAATATTAATTAATTAGCAATGATACATGACATTGGCACATAATCATGATTTCATTATATATTCCATATAGGATGAATCAGTTTATTGTAATTATTAATTTAGGAGACCTTAAATTTGTTACATGGAAAACCACATGTTATCTTTCCTTATCATCTCCTAATTTTCATAGATATAGTGATATCTGATATCAACAAAGTGATGTCTAAATTCAAATTGTTATGATTAATATTTTGATGTTTGTAGATACACAGATGAATTTAATGTTCGAGAAGACCTCATGGGACTAGCAATTGGTGCACATGGAGCGAATATACAACAAGCAAGAAAAGTAGATGGAATAACAAATATAGAACTGGAAGAAAATTCTTGCACATTTAAAATATATGGAGAGGTAAAGTCTACAATACATATATACATATATGCTGTATCACGTTCTCTTTTATACTTATCTAAACTATTGTTATTATATTTGTACCTAATTGTATCCATATATAAACAGAAATGAATATAAAAGTTGTTCTTTTTTAATTCTAGACACATGAAGCTGTCAAAAAAGCTCGTTCAATGTTGGAATATAGTGAAGAGTCCATTCAAGTACCACGCGTTTTGGTAGGAAAAGTAATTGGAAAAAATGGTCGCATTATTCAAGAAATTGTGGACAAGAGCGGTGTAGTAAGTATTTTTTATATTACTATTTAAATTTATTGGTAAGTTTTTACTAATTAATTGCTTGAACTTAAAAACTGAAAGTAATATTAAATATGCTTGGTTGCATTAATTTTCATTTTCAGTTGATATTCTAATCGTATTGTGGTCAGTTCTGTTTATGTAGTATAGGGACAGTATATCATAGACCCTCCTCATCTATTGGTGTATCTACATTTTTATTCTGCAGGGTATTATACACGAACATAATTTATCCACTTATAAAAGTTTGCCCTGCAAACAAGACCATTTAATTTTATAAAATATGAAATCTCTATGTATTATTAGTTTCAGTTTTAACAGCTCTCAGAAAATTGGCAAAATCGATATATGTTTCAATTGAAAATGGAAGTTATAAATTAATATAGAGTTACGTTGATGTGATATACGTGCATTGTTTGTTCTCGGTAGATAACAACTGGCTCGAGTGGGAATACTCACACTGATAGAGTAAGTATATTACATTATATTGTTTGTGGAATTATTTCATCTGGTTCATTGTATCAATTGAATATGTTTGAAAGCACTTACACATCTTACATGAACCACTCGGGCCAGTTTTACTTTTTCAATAAACACATCTTTGTGATTTAACAATATTAAATAATCACATGTCGGAAAAATATCGTGAATCATATTGCATTAAGTAAACTGTTTAATTTAATGAATATGTCTCTCTTTACATTATTATTATTATTATTGTTGTTATTATTATTATTATTATTATTATTATTATTATTATTATTATTATTATTATACATCATCTGTTTTCTTATTTTATATAACTTAATGTATGCATAATTATGAAGCAAAATCTCATAGTATATAGGATATACTCGATAATGCCAAATATTAATATCTATCCATGTATGTACACATTTCTCTATATGCCAAAGTATATCTATTATAACTTATAGGAAACATAACAACATTATATGAAATATTGCTGTGACATTTAATTAATTAGTAAAATATTTTCAAAATATATTATCATTTCGACCTTAGTATATAAAATCTTTTGTATATTGTAGAATTTTTGTAAAGAAAGAAAAAAATATGCCAAAAGGCTTGAATTTTTAATGTCAATCAGCAAAGTTTACTACAATGTGGTTTAAAAATGTAGAGCTGTTATTATACTTTTATAATGTCAATAACAGCCTACATTATGCTGCATATTTAGGTAAATTTTACAGACTGATCAACATTTCAATTGATGGAAATAATAAACAACGATGACTGAAAACGGATGGTATGGATACGAAATAGAATTACAATCTATATCGGTAAAGCTAATTTTTCATGATATTATGAATTTATGCTAAGACAATATACATTTCAGGTACGAGTGAAAATAGAAGGAGACAACGAACCGCAACCGACGATCCCGCGAGAAGAAGGCCAAGTACCCTTTGTCTTTGTCGGTACTGTTGAAAGTATTGCAAATGCCAAACTTTTGTTGGAGTATCATTTGGCACATTTAAAGGTATATTCGTAGAATTATCATAATCCTCTTTATGATAAATTTATGAAAGATATAAAGAGCAATGTATTAAACATATTATAGATATATTAAAATTGATGTAAAATTGTGGATACCTTGATTTTCTAGGAAGTTGAACAGCTCAGGCAAGAAAAATTAGAAATTGATCAACAATTAAGAAGCATGCATGGATCAACGACAGGACCAATGCCTAGCTTTCCACCGACAAGGCGAGGAATGGTCACCGGGCCCGAAGAGGGTGGTGGTGGTCGTGGTGGACGAGGCGGTCAGTCTAGAGGACGGGGAAGGGGTAGGGCCCCTGCCAGACATAATGCCGGTAATACTATTACTGATTACATCAACAATATAGAAAACACGCATAAACGTGATGGCAGAGTTCGTGGTGGATCTGATACCAGAGACATTAACAACAGAAATCATCTCACTACAAAGTAACAAATAATTCGATTTTGATTGCTTTGTGATAATATGCTGAACATTATTGCATTACAATATTTCATTATAAGCTTGGATACATTCGTCAATGTATGTGTTAATATTTGGCCTCTAAATATAAAGTAAAAGAAAAAAAAATATGTGATTAAAAGAACCATACATTGTTGGATAAACACACTGTGAGAGACTGGTTTTAGATATCACGAGATTGTTGCGTTTTAATTACAAAATTTTGAATAACTTTACAATAATACATTGTACAGCATTAGTATCCTAGAGGGTAGAGTTGTTTCGGATCACTAGATAAAGTTCTAACGAAATCCTTACTATTATATAGCTTATGCTCTTATTCTTTAGTAACTACTTATTGTAAACATAAGTAAAATAATGTAGTAAGAATAATTTACTTAGTAATGAATAATTTTATATAGTAATCAATATAAATCATATATAAATGAGTGTAAAGTATTAAACTTTATTTTTTTCTCTTTTTTTTGCTTTTTTTTTGCTTTTTTGTCTTTGTTTTTTTTTTGTTCTTTTTTGTCTTTTTTGTTTTTTTTTTGTTTTTTTTTTTGTTTTTTTTTGTTTTTTGATTCTATTATTTTCTTTTTACACTTGTTATGAACAAAATAGATGAGTAAATTATGATTTGAAGTTTTTACGTGTTCATATTTTTAGAAAGTAAATACATTACATTTCTCTCTCTTTCTTTCTCTCTCTCTCTCTCTCTCTCTCTTTCTCTCTTTCTCTGTTTCTCTCTTTCTCTTTCTGCACATTTTATGCAGTTGTAATTAGAAATACTTAAAGTTTGTATCTATATAATAATAGTAAGCATTTTTACAATTTTTACAAAATCAATACCAAATAAGACTATTCTCTAAGAGCAAATTTGTTATGTTTTCAAAAAATCCATTATTATAAACTGACTTTAGTACACGTACGATAGCGTGTTAGTTTATTTTACAGTTAAAATTAATTGCATATACATATACATACATATATATATATATATGATATATATATATATATGATACAAAGGTATTTTTGAAAATAATATGGAAGTATTATCATAATATTTGACAATAATATGTATTTATGTACCAATCATGCTGCCATTACATTGCCTTATTTAAATATAGAATTATTTAATCAATTTTTATACAGTTGAGTTGAATTGAGTTGAGTTGAATTGAGTTGAATTGAGTTGAATTGAATTGAGTTGAATTGAATTGAATTGAATTGTATTGTATTGTATTGTATTAAATAACTAAAATTTGTAAAGAAAAAGAAAGTTAATAAATTTATAAATTGCTGAGGTAATGTAATGCAAACGTAGATAAAAATTATCTTATTACTGTCATAGGCATCAAAATGGATAAAAAAAAAAAGAAAAAGAAAAAGAAAAAAAAAAGACTTTGATAAATAATGTTGTGAATGTAGCATAAATCCACAGTATGACTAATTTTGTTAATTTTGTATTATGATCACATTTATCTCTAAATAAAACTTATCTTGGACATAACATACTGTGCATGAAATTAATTATTACAATCCAACAAATAAAAGGATTGAAATGAATTCATTTTTCTCGTGATTGTTGTTAATTCGTGTTAGTTTGGTAGTTTAGAAAAAAAAAAAAATTAACAAGCGATACTGTTATTAATGCTGAATTGGTGTGTATGCTTCGTGTTCAGTAATAAGTTTTATTTCCTTATATTATAGTTCATTATAGTTTAATTAAAATACTAGTTGACTGAACTTCCTTTTTTTATTTTATTTTATTTTATTTTATTTATTTTTTTTTTTTATTTTTTTTTTTTTTTAATAAAATTAATATATATTATCTTTTTTATTATATACATTTTTATTACAATTCTCCTTTTTCTTAGATCCATATTAATACATACTTTTAATTTTATTTCTTTGTTTTGTAGGATTACGTCGTGACACTTTAGACGGTAATGAAGATCGTGTTCGAGACCTTCCACCAAGAGGTGGTCATCAAGGTGGTGCAGGAAATTCAGGGTATATGGGGGCTAGACAAGGTCGTCCACCGGTTCAACGTAGAGATCGTAGAGACGAACGTCGTCGAACGACGGACGACGAAGACACTGTTCTTGATAGTCAAGACGTTTCGAGCATTGATAGAGGTAAAATTATCCTTTGAATCGTGTATGAAAGAGAGAGAAAGAGAAAGAAAGAGAGAGAAAGGAGAGAGAGAGAGAGAGAGAGAGAGAGAGAGAGAGAGGGAGAGAGAGAGAGAAAAAAAATCGCTCCGTCCTAAAGAATGTACGCATACATATTTGATCACGTAATACTTTGGGAACGTAGCATGATGAAAAAAAGGGTGCAAACATTTGTGACCATCTAACACTAATTTTCTCATGGGACAATAATTACTAATATACGCAATTAATAACATGTGCTGAGTGCAGCTTTCTTTTTTGTAATTTGTCTTTTCATTTCTTGTCTGAAAATATTAGATTTAATGTTCTATATTTGTAAAAGATGGTCACAATTGGTTTGTATATGTAGACTCGGTGTCGAGCGTGGAGGGAGGTGCTAAAGTGATCAGACGAAGACGGGTACGACGATCTCGACAGAGAAGTTATACACCAACTAATAGCGAGAAAGGTAACTTAACATTTAATAATTGTTAAATCAGTTTCATGTCTTTAGGACGAATGATCGATTTTGTTTTTCTTTTTTTCCCCCTGAAAAAAAAATGAGAGGGGAAGAGAGAGAAAAAGAAAGAAAAAGAGAGAGAGAGAGAGAGAGAGAGAGAGAGAAAAAGAGAGAGAGAAAGAGAGAGAGAATGAAAGTATAAAATTAATATCTAGTTTGTTTTGTTAATTGTTCATTCAATGCTAATATATACATTTGTTCAGGCAGTAATGCCGGACCGGGCGACCAATCAACAATAACTAATAAAGAAGGAACGCCTGCAAATGACGTATCTGTGTCAAACAACAGTTCTCAAGGTTCAAAGGGTCAGCGAGAACCACGAAATCGTCCTCCTCGAATGCAGCAGAGCAACAAGCCTAAGGAAGCTCTGGTGAATGGTACCAGTGGCTAAAAAACCATTTATGGTTCACCATAACAGCTGCTACTTACGTATAACACTACACCTGATGATGAGCTATTAACACCCAGCACGTAACATGACGTATACCTACGCAAGGACTTCACGATTATGGATCGCGACATGATTAGTCTACGCTCGTTGTTAAGACTGTTTGCTACCGATAAGAATATGACAGTTGTTTAAGAAATCGTCATTCTCCTTAAACACATTTAAGGACACATATTAATATCCATGCATGGTTTAGTTTAATGATAGTAATTATGCTATCATGTTTGATATACGGATACATTCATTGGGAGGTAGTAGCAGCACAATTTGGTCAAAAGGGTTCCCTGATTGTGAAACTGTGCCTCATTTTTATACCGAGCTCCTAACTTACGTGACAGTGCTTTGGATGTACTTTTTAAAGTACTCCCATAGTCACTCGTTAATGTTTAACGATCCAATAATAGGCTGGATATTCGCGGCTCGTACGTCAATTACCAATTTGATTGAATTTCATCTGGATATGCCGTTAAGCTTTTTACGAATGCATCACAAATAATTAACATTATTTTCTTATCTTTTATTATAGTTTATATTCTATTATATATCATAATCGTCATCTTAAGTCGTTAATTGAAGCATTTAAATTGATAAGATAAATGATAAATAATTATCTTCAGATTATTAATTATTTGGTTGCATTCTTAAATGATATCGATTAAACAAGAAGAGAAAAATTCTTTTTGCTGGATAATGTTTTACAGTTTAAGAGGACAAATAAAATGAATAATAAGAAATGAGATATTGATGATTTTGTTGTGTCGTTTGAATATGTTATATTTTTATACGTAAAAGACTAATACTAAAACGATCAGAATGAATTAAATGATTCATGAGAACGTAATATTTAAACTATTCGTTCAAAGTGTTCATTTTAAAGTTACGCGTCTTCATGGTAGTTAATTGTAACGAGTTTGTAATCTATTTTATATTTACAGAATTAAATTCACGTGTGAATAATTTAAATATTACATGTTATTTTTCTTAATGTCGAAAGTATAAAAAAAAAAAAAAAAGAAAAAAAAAATAGAGAGAAGTATATCGATTCAACGAAAATTAATGAATAATAAATAAAAGTGTAAAATTGTTGATCATATAGTAATTAAGAAATATTTTCATATTATATACACAGTCTGCTGAGAATATTCTTTTGAACTGTAAAACTGCCATGAAAAAAAAAAAAAAAAAAAAAGAAAAAAAGAAAGAAAAAAATCTTTGTTGTCCTTTATCTACTTGAGTAGATAAAAAAAATGTGACTTATTGATTTTAATGATTACCGATCCTTTAATGAAAATTAACGATGAATTTGTATAATCACATTGCTTAGCGTCATAACTCCGATGAAATTTAATGAGATACTAGGAAAGTGAATTCCATTGTTAAATTTACGATGGTGGGCGGCAGCTGTAAGAAATCCTGGTTCAAAGGTGTTCCCAATGATGTTCCTTCTATTTACTTCACAAGATTTGAGTTTTTTTTTTTTTTTTCTTGGTTTACGGTTATTAGTAGAGTTGTTAACGACACTAGATTTTTATGTTTCAATACTGAGTGTTGATTAATAATACCACAATGAATGCTAAAATGACTTCTTTGATTATGGGAAAACACAAACAGGTGTGCACAAGGAATTAGACTTTATTTCTGAGTACACTTCTTACGTGATTTAGCTTTTTTTTACTACAGTATAAGCATACTATATCAAGTATTAGAATTTGATACGAAGTTCATTTCTGCATTGTTTCGCATGATTTAAAAAGAAAGTAAACGTATACTTAGTAATACCAATGTATGATGTGCCAGAGAAGGAATGATACATGTTTTATGATATCTAGCTGAAGTGCAGACTTAGCGCATACCTTTATTACTATAATACTACTTAGTCGAAATGTGGATGTCTGAAAAAAAATAAACTAGCTTTACTATACTAAGCTATAAAATAGATATGATCAACTGTTTTAAATTGATTATCAGTGATATTCAAGATTCAGTTATCAATTTAAAACAGCTATCTCTTCTTCCGGATATGACAACAACTAATCGGACGTGTCTCATGGATTTTGCAAAAACGCATGGCGGTTGATGCAACACATTGACACCTAACAAAACAGCTGCCATATAATCTGAATATTTTTATGGTAGCCAAAAACTGAGATATCCCCCAACTTGCTTGTTTCAGATACATTTGTATTGATTGCAATTTGTGCATAATTTAAGAATAAAACATTTCTGTACATAGACTGCTCATTAGTACATTGAACAAAAAAAAAAAGAAAAAACAAAACAAAACAAACAACAAAAACGAAATCTTGGTGACCTCTCCTTAATTAAAAGAAGAAAAAAACAAAAAAAAGAAAAAAATAGAAAAAAGGAAAAAGAAAGAAAAAAAACAATGATGTATCCAACGAATGCAAATCCTTTTATCTATTAACATTTCTTACATGTATGCGTATTAGATTCGAAGTAAAATATCATTTGGAAGGTTCGATGTGTAAAATATTTGAAAAACATCAATTTTATAATAATAACTTATGTAAATAATTTATTACGCTGATTTCATTTTTAAAACAAATAACAATATTCACATCTCGTTTAAATTTAAACAAAATGCGCGGGAAAAAGAGCTTGTTCTCTTTGACATATACTTTTTGAATTTATACAAGTATTTTATAATAATTCGGTCATTATTTATTCTTTCGAATATTTGTGATCTATTTGTATGTGTATATTATTATTTTTCATAATAATCTTTTTATTTGTTATTATTACTTTCAATTGGCCAATTCGATTTTCTTTTTTTCTTTTTTTTCTGGGTTTTTTTTTTCATTCCCAAAGACGCGTTTAATTATTCGTCCAATCGGCATGCGACATCGTAGAAATTCTACGAAGTTATTGGACGTTTCGATTTGATGTAGTTTCCATTGAAAGGTACATTTTCATTTGTAAATATTTCACAATATAAATTAATATTGCAAAAGTAAAATATTGAAATCATTATAGATTAGAATCTCAAGTATATATATATATACATACATATATATATAAGTATAAATGAATTTTATTAAGAATTTTTCATATTAAAATATCAATGGTTTTTCAATATATAATTTTGATAGTAATAATTTATAATATTAAATGTTCTCGTATGGTGGCGCCACGAGCTTCATAAAACATGTTCCATTTCAGTTCTGATATATGATACAACCAATGATAATACCATAATCGGAATCCAGTCAGCTGTTATGTCAAGTGAATATCCTTAACCAACAAAATAAGTAAAAATAAGTTAATTAATTGGCCTTAATAAAGATTTTCTTGATAATATTGTGATCTTCCAGTGTATACACATTATCATACGAACGTACAGAGAAAAGAGGTGAGTTGATTCCGATTAATTATGGTTATACTTCATGCTTTCGAATTCCTCGCTTTTAGATACTTGCTACTACTTCTTCATCATCATCGTTAATGCTAGTCATCTGCGTCCAATTATTATTTTGTTTTTCCTTCTTTTCCTTTTGTTTTCTTTTCTATTTTTTCTCTCTTTCTTTCTCTCTCTCTCTCTCTCTCATTTTTCTTTATTTTTGCCATTTTTTCTTTTTTTCTTTCTTTCTTTCCTTTTTTTTTTTTCTTTTCAATCTGTTCTCGATTTATTAATTCATATTTTCATTCATTAATCGATTTCATTGATTGTAAGATTGTGATTGTAAGATTTTTACGCGAGAATTTCAATGTTGTCCCAAAAATATTACACCTACGTTATGTCCACATACAGTATCGCATAATTTACCTGTTCGCTAGGATCATTATGCAAATGGCGCGTTTGTATTGTAATATTCTTATCAAATAAACGTTTACTTTCATGATTGATTAATTCTCGAATAATGTTCGATAATATTTTTGTAATATATATATATATGTATGTATAATATAATTTTTATTATTTATTAATTACGTTCGAAAATTTAATAGCCTATCGTTTCTTTTCTTTTTTTTTCTTTTTCTTACTTTTCTTTTTGCGCTTGCGTAGAATGTTAAGAAAAAATTATTTTCTTCGACTCGTAATAATAAATTAATCGGATAACTGGTTCGATACATCATTTACTCCAATGAAATCGTATAAATAAGATAATATGATAATCGTATAAATGTTGAGATAGTACGTAAACATCTCTCTTTCTCTCTCTCTCTCTTTATTTTTTTTTATTTTCGTTTTTTTTTTTTTTTTTTTTTTACAAAGTTTCAAGTCTCCCGATAAATACAAGTTGTAAACAAATAGAGTATAATTTGTTTTCTTACAAAATAAACAGTGGTTGTGTCATTACTTCTATATTGTAATCTTTTAATAGAAGAAAAGAAGAAAAAAGAGAAAAAAAAATAATAATAATAAATTGTTAATGTATAAAATGCATTGATTTTTATAAGGTAACGAATGGCGTTTTTAAAAGATGTTGCTAAATTATATGCATTTATATATATATATATATATGTATATATAAAAAGAAAATAAAAATAAAAATAAAAATAAAAATAAAAATAAAAATAAAAAAGAGAAAAAAAAAACATGTGTCAAGAACAATGTCTCATGAATGTTAGCGTGTCGAAATCATCTCTCATTACGTGATTTTTTTTTAACATTTCGACATACTGATTATTCATGCGTGTCGTGAACGCGCGGTGAAATCGTAAAGAAAAAGACAGAACCAGAGAGAGCCAGAGAGAGAGAGAGAGAGAGAGAGAGAAACACGATAATTGTTCTTTTATATCTTCTTGGAGAAAGGATAAATGAAAATAGAAACTAAACAAAAAAAAAAAAAAAAAGAAGTATTCGATGTATATAAACATATTTTCATTCCGAGAAAAATATTATTTCATTCGATAATTAGTAATATTAACAATCGATAAAATAATATAATCAATTGATATACGTAGTATATTACCCGTTAATATTTGAAATTCAAATTTTACTTTCGATCGAACTTTTTATATTCCAATTATATTTAAATTGATGATTATAAATGCATATACAAGTGATAATTTTTAACGTAATTAACATATTAATTTATAAATAACGTATTGCAAGAATTTCAGGTAGAATGAATCATCAATTTTATAAATTACTTTGTTATGCCTTCTGCGAATTGTCATACGTAATATATACATATATATATTATATATATATATATATATAATTATCTCTGTCTCACGATCGAAAAAAAAGAAAGAGAAAAAAAAAGAATAATTTTTGTCGTATAATTAAATACGAAAGAGTTTATCTTTTTTTTTTTTAACGTACAAACTGAATGAGAAAATATCCATTTTTGTTAATTATTTAATTACGAACATATTAGAAAATACTTTTAAGTTAAATCAATTCAATGAATAAAAATTACGACATGTTATTTCTTATTATTGTTTTTGTTATAATAGGTCCTCTTTAAAATCTAGTTGACTGAATTCAATAATGATATTGTAGCAGTATTATTACTCTATATACTTCCAAGATGTTCAAAGAAAACGATAATGCTTCTGGGGGTTGTAATGGTGCACCACCACGTGCTCGACGCTTTCCACGATTTTCCTTAAGGAGATTATTATATTCGAGCCCTCTGATCGGTCGAAGAATAGTTCGTGCCCCTAGTTCAGGCAACAGAAACAATACTAAAGGTAATTAATCTTCTTTACGTGTCACTTATTCTTTTATTTCTTTTTTTTTTTTTTTTTTTCTTTTCTTATTATTTTTTTTTTCCATACCGTTAATCCATCACAAAATATATTCTTCATTTCTTTTTGTCTTTCTTTTTTTCTTTTCTTTTTTTTCTTTTTCATCTTTTCAATTTTGCAGCTAAAGATCCAGCGAGCAGTAGAGTATTTATTGAAGCCAGAGTAAGTAATGGTTCAAGCCATTATCAATTTTACAACATAGACCTACAACGTGCTTCCAGCAAAGGCTCTGTACTTTCTTCTGCCGGAAAGGTATTTATAGAACTGTACAAGTGCAACTGAGAAGGAATCTTGGAGGATACTAATTTGTAGAATTTTTCTTTGGCTAATATTAAAATATAGAAAATAAATTATCTTAATAAAATTAATTTCAATATTCTTACAATATTCTTATTCATTTTTTTCTTTTTTTTTTTTTTTTTTTTTTTTTCTTTTTTTTTAAATTACAGAGCAATGAAAGTGGATTAATGGAATGCCCGTTATGCTTAGCCGATTTACCGATCGAATTATTTCCTGTAATACAATCATGTCATCATCGTACCTGTTATGATTGCTTCCAACAATATCTTAAAATTGAGATTTCAGAGTCAAGGGTTAATATAGCCTGTCCCGTATGTTCAGAACCACTTCATCCAAATGGTAAAAATGATTGTATTAAAATAAACAAATTATACGATATATTATATCATATATATATATATATATATCGCATTTTTTATATAAGATTATTGTAACAAATTTCTTTCTTACCTTTTTTTTTTTTTTTTTTTTTTTTTTTTTTTCATTTTGTCAACAGATATTCGAATGATCCTAAACGATTCAGCTCAATTAGAAAAATATGAGGACTTTATGGTACGAAGAGTCCTCGCGGTTGAACCCGACGCAAGATGGTGTCCTGCACCAGATTGCAGTTTTGCTGTAATTGCCAGTGGTTGTGCTTCATGTCCAAAATTACGATGCGAACGACCTGGTTGCGATTCATACTTTTGTTATCATTGTAAAGCACGATGGCATCCTAATCAAACGTGCGATGCAGCTAGAGCACAGCGTTCACAATATTATGAACGTAGCTCCTCGCTTAGTTTCAGTCAAAGTGATTCACAACACAGTATGTATTCATTTCATAACATTTTTTTTTTTCTTTCTATAAATATATATAATTATAATTATATTATTAATAATTATATACTATGTATATGTATGTATATATTTTTATTTTATGCGTTTAGGAGATGATATTAAACCATGTCCAAGATGTCAAGCTCTTATCGTTAAAATGGACGATGGAAGTTGTAATCATATGACATGTGCTGTTTGCGGAGCCGAATTTTGTTGGCTTTGTATGAAAGAAATCAGTGATCTCCATTATCTAAGGTATTAATATTTATATCTATATTAATTATATTTTATTCGATAAAATATTCGATAAATTTGAAAATTGTTTCGATTATTATTTTAACAGTCCTTCTGGCTGTACTTTTTGGGGTAAAAAGCCATGGTCCAGAAAGAAGAAAATTCTTTGGCAATTAGGAACTCTTGTTGGTGCTCCTGTTGGAATTGCTCTTGTCGCTGGTATAGCGGTTCCTGCAATGATTATCGGTAAATATTAATTTTTTTTTTTAATTAATATTATAACATACGCGTATATATGTATAATTTAACACATTTTTATATTTATACGTACTTTTGTTATAGGCATTCCTGTATGGGTAGGAAGAAAATTATACACAAGGTATAAGAAAGCCAACAAGCACAAGAGAAATGCTTTTATTGCAGGTGGTGTTACCGCATCGGTAAGTCCGAAAAATGTCTTATATTTTGTCTTTCTTTCTTTTTTTTTCTTTTTTTTTAATCAATATTATTTTTATTCTCTACTTTGACATCTCATCTTTAATTTAATTTGACACATCTCCACGATCAGAGATACGTGGTGTATATATATATATATATATATATATATATATATATATATATATATATAATATACGTGTATAAAATCTATATATATATACACACACACATATATATATACATATATATATATATATACACACATATATATATATATACACACATATATATACACACATATATGTATTAAAGAGGCTTGATATTTCATGACAACATCGAAGTATATTTTATTTATATTGAAACAAAATGTGGTTTTTTTTTTTGTGTTTTTTTTTGTTCTTTCTCTTTTTCTTTTTAATTAACATAAGAAATTAGCTTACAAAACAGATTAATCTATTATATATATATATTTTTTTTTTCTTTTCTTTAATTCGTTAGAATAATATGATCGGTGAGGAAATGTATTTGACCCATAAATAGTAAGGAGCACCCATAAATAGCATTATTATCATTTTCTCTTAGGATGATTTCTAACAAATGTTTCGTTCTTATTAACGAATATAAAATATTATATTAATAAACACATTTCAATTTGATGCACAGAAAAATAGCACGTCGTTAATATATAGATGTTTGAAAACTCAATCCATATACACATACATGGTACGTTATTAAAAAGGTTTACAGTAGCAGAAGTATCGGCGAAATGGTATATATAAGGTTGTCGATAAAAAGTTCATTAATACCTAATGTTACACGTCATGCTTGAGGAAAAAAAAAAAAGCGCATTCATTACTAAATGTATATTTTCTCATTCGTTTTCAAATCGTATATCAATGAGTTTTACGGCCTATATCGATTTCATTAAATTGTGCCGTGAATTAGAAGATCGTGCAGAGCAGTACATGGTAGAAATATGAAAGTAGTGCATGTTAAATCTACCATCGATTCAATGACATTCTCATCAAATTCATATTTTACGCACTTTATAATTTTTCAATTGAACGTGTTCCTCTTCTCTTCTTTCTTTTTTATCCTTGGTTGTATCTTTTTTTTTTCATTTTCTTTTTCTTCTTCTTCTTCTTCCTTTTTTTCAATTTCTCTCTTTTTTTTTTCTTTTCTTTCTTCCTTCCTTCCTTCCTTTTCTTTTCTTTTCATTAAGGTAAAAAAAAAAGAAAAAAAAAAAAAGAAAAAAAAAAGAAGAGACACGATACTGCCCTTTATATTCATGTAATCGATTATCACACTTTTGCCCGATCTTTAATACTGCTTTAATAATCATTGCTGGCATTAAAGTCTACACATCGACATAAAAATTCTGCTACCATATCTTCGAAGCGAGAGAGCTTGGAAGTATAAACCTTCCTACGGCCCATTTGGAAGAGCTTGGCTCGTGTATTATATGTTATTTTTTTTTTTTCTTCCCCCCTTTTCTTTTTCTTTTCACTGGAATAGGAAGGAATTATAGTTCCATTAATAGGGGAAGGCCGTTTAAGCTTCCGCTTCTGTCGTCGTTATTGCAATCTCTTCGGTTAATATGCCATCATTATGAAGATCTTGAAGTACATCGATTAAACGTTGTTCCGTTTGTGGATGTCCCAAAGCTATATCTATAGATCCAATACAAAGTAATAATGCCAATAATTGAGATTTTCTATAATCCTTAGCGAGATCTTTCCTCGTATATCCAAGATCTTTTGGTATATCAACTCCGTAAAGGAAGCAGGAACGATTTAAAGCGATCCAATATGAATCCAAAAGAGATTCCGTGTGTTTTCGGCGCAATTTGCTTGGCAATGAGCTCAACAATAATAATGCAACGTCGTTCGTTGGTCTGCTATAAGCAACCATTTGCCAATCGAGAATGAAACACGTGGTACGTTCCTGGGCATAATGAAATTGTAAATTCTTACACCAGAAGTCCGTATGCGTGATCAGAGCTAATGGACCTTCTGGAGCAAGAAGGGTCATGATGATGTCTTTGGTTTTTGGTCGAAGTGCCATAAGAGCTTCGAGAACAGTTTCGAGTCCTGGCACACGTTCTAAAAAGCGTGCCAATTGAGAGAATCCTCGTTCTACCATTTGTTGATAAGAATCTGTCGCTTTGGCCTTTTGAAATAGGAACGGGTAACGTTCCGGCAAAGGTTTCCCGTCTATAATTTTCATGCTGAGCGATAGACCATGTATCGAGGCTATAGAATCCAAGGCAGCTTTTGCTTCAGCGAATGTCAATCCTTCGGAGAATTTAATGCTCGTTGCATCAAAATCAGATAAAACCAACATCGATTCCGGTGGTACAGGGCTATCATCGGTTCCTCCAGGTGGACTATAATGAGCGTAATAACATATTGGTACCTTCAATGAATTATCATACATTTCTTCCAGACTTATTCGATCTCCCTTGATATGTATATCTTCGAATTTCTTCAAGTCCGGTATTATCTGAAATGAAATTATAATAGTGCATTGGGGAATATTTCCTTTTTTTTTTTTTTTTTTTTTTTTTTTTTTTTTTTTTTTTTTTTTTTTTTTTTTTTTACACGATCGGACGTGAGTCGAATTAATTAACGGATCATTCGTATATCGAAAAGATTTGAGGATTATTTTGAAAAGGTAAACGAGAAAAAAGGAACAAAAAAAAAAGGGAACAAAAAAAAATTTTTCGACAGGATAGTTGGTGGATTTATATGAAAATCAAAAAAGAGGGAAAAAAGAAAGAAACAAAAGGAAAAAAAAAAAAAGGAAAAAAAAAGGAAGAAAACACGAAAAAGAAAAGAAAAGAGAAAGGAAAAATAGAAGAAAAAAAATAATGACGTTTCGCCGTTATAGAAAATATTTCTCTCGAAAGTATATAATTATTGCGAAACTGAGAACTTCAGGGTCTATGTGTTATTTGAACGAAACGAGTCTATGTGTATTCGTTCTGTTCTCATTCGTTTAAACCGAACCCAACGACGCGGAGAAAGAGAAAGAAAGAACAACTTGTCGGTTTAATTTTCTACGGTTTGCTCTTAGCGCTTGACTTTCTTTTATTTTCTTCTTTATTTTTTTCTTCTTTTTTTTTTTTTTTTTTTTTTGTTCTTTTTTCTCCCCTTTTTCTTTTTCTTTCTTTCTTTCGCTCGCTTCTACGAGATTCTCTCAATGTTCCTATAGATACGTGTGTACGTACGTATGGTACATTTAAGTACACACACACATACACATATACACACACATACCCCTTTTTCCCTCCCCTCTTTACGCGTCGTTGTCAACTGTTCCTTTTTTTCTTCTTCAAATTAACAAGCGACAAGTAATCAAATTGAATAAACAATTTTCCATTAGAACAATCGGTAGTATGTGTAGAGGTGAAAATTCGAAACGTGGCAAGTAATTTGTAGGAGAATTGGGTGACCAACAAAAAGTGGGTAACCATCAAAAATGGGTAAACGGGCTAACCGCCTAATTGCTCGACCGCAGGAACGAGCGATATGTGAACAAGAGTGTATTGGTGGTCACGAGTATAGAGAGAGATAGATAGATAGAGATAAAGAGAGACGAGAGAGAGAGAGAGAGAGAGAGAGAGAGAGATAAAGGGAAGGGGAAAAAGAGGAGAGATAGAGAAAGAAGAGAATACATTGTATACGAACTAATACATACGTATATGCGTTTTGTTCTACTATACCATTTTTCAAAGTTTCTTGTCATCCTCGCTTGGACACGCCTACGTAACTAATACTGCATACAATAGGTTAGGTATTTTTGCCAGTAAAGCGGGCTACGTCCAAGTGGATCTCGTTGTAGGGTCTTCGTCATCCCTTATTTACCAAACAGTCCAGTAACAGAAGCCCCGTTTCGAAACAAATGATCGCACAGAGTAAGTTTTTCCTTGATTCACCGACAACATACAACGACTACCAACGACGTAAAACGACTACGACCAACGACGTTCAATGACGACGACCAACAACGACCAACGACCAACGATCAACGACGATGTCCAGTTACGTTCTCTCTTGACCTCTCAGATTTAAAGCAGCCGTTAGATCGATAACTCTCCTGTCACACGCACGAGTCAAATTGATTGCGGCAAGAAGGGTTCTGCCAGTAAAGGGCGTGTGCTAGCTTCGAGAATATCGTTTGCGAGAGGAAGGAAAATGGCAGAAATGTCACAAGGACTTCCTTCTCTTTTCCTTTCTTTCTTCCTTCTTTTAACTTTCTCTCTCTCTCTCTCTCTCTCTCCTCTCTCTCTCTCTCTCTCTCTTTCTTATTTACTCTCTTTTTCGTTCTCTTTATTTCAACCCTGATATCGTTTTTTCACCCTCCCATCTCTTTTTTCTCTTCATGACTCTCGGCTATGAGTTCGTGTAATCGAGCAAGATCGTGCTTCGAGTATTATTTCGCAATTCGCGAAACCCATAGCCCATCGTCGCAATTATGGATTTCTACTAGACGAGAAATATACGTAAGGCCCTTTTACAACGATCGATGCGTATCGATTCCTCCAATCAGGCGTGAAACCTTCCCGTGCAGCCGCGCACGGATTGGAAGTTGATAAGCGAACTCTAGTTCACCTCCCCTAGCTACATCAGATTAAATTTGCAGAGCATAGCCACAGAAGAGCGAACAGGCGATACTGATCGTCGACCCCCTACTCCTATCTCTCTCTCTCTCTCTCTCTTTATCTATCTCTCTCTACAAAATTCACCTAATCTCGGTATAAACTGCGTTTGATCTCCGATGATGAGGAGAGAGGAGTTTAGGTTAAAAATATAAAAATAAAAAAAAGGATAAGAAAAAGAAGCCCTTCCGCCACTACCTCCACCATCACCACCACCACCCCCTCCCTTCCACCCGAAGAAAAAGAAGAAAACGAAACAACATGAATTTTTTTCCACGGTTTCTTTGAAAGAAAAAAAAAAAGAAAAAAAAAGAAAAAAAAAGAATATTTAAAACACAGAAATAATGCGTAAACTAAATGCAATGTTATTTGGTCTCTTTGATTTTTGTTTTCTTCTCTTCTTCTTTTACCGACACCTATACACATAGACGATCCAACATCCAACACGCACGTACGCATACGTATGCTCGCTCGTTTCATCCCCTACTATTGTTCCTTCCACAACCTTCTGTTACAGCACGATGCACCGTTTACGAGCGTTTACGCGCTTGTGTCTGTCTCTGCAGGATTTCGAGCACGAATAACACGTTCTGCTTTTCATCCACAGGGGGTCTTCGTGTATCAAATGTATACCTACGAGCCGGCGAAATATGGTGAGTACGTCTTTCCTGGTTGGGCGAACATGATTGGAATACTGATCGGAGTATCTACCATAGCGCCATTCCCGATCTTTTTCTCCGTACATCTTTGGAAGTTATTGGTAAGAATTGTTTACATTATATTTAAAAAAAAAAAAAAAAAAAAAAAAAGAAAAAGAAAAAAAAGAAAAAAAAGAAAACATTTAACTCTGTTTTCTTTTGTCTGTCTTCTTTTTTTTTTTGTTTTTCTTTCGCCCCTTTGTTTTCTTTCTTCCCCCCCCATCCCCTTCTTCCGTTTTCTTCTTTTTCTTTCTTTTCCTATTTTTCTCCGTGTTTCTTTTCTTTCTTTCTTTTTTTTCTTTCTTCTTCTTCTTCTTCTTCTTCTTCTTCTTTTCTTTTCTTTCACAAATTATCGCAGACGATATTATTTCACAACGAATGATCATTTTCACGATCGATCGATCGATCAATCGCGATCGATCTTTTGTTATAAGTAAACGTGAAAAAAAAAATTCGCCTTTGGCGAATCGCAAAACGTTTTAAAAGTTGCGCCTGTCTTAGCGATAGGATCTTCTTCAAGAAAGCAGAAACGTCTTAATACAAGTTTTTCGAGACGATACGTAGGAGGTAATCGCAGTTTTCGAAGGAAAAGTTTCGTCCGCGTTTCATCGCACCTATTTCTAAGAAAGTTCGAGCCCTTACTTCTCTCGACTACTTCCGTTTTGTGTTAACCGATAAATTTACCATTACTCTTATCTCCTTTCCTTCTGTTTCCGACTCTCTTCCTCTTTCTCTCTCTCTCTCTCTTTCTCTCTCTCTCTCTCTTTCTCTCTTTTTCCCTTCCTCTCTCTCTTTCTCTCTCTTTCTCTGAACGAGAACTTGAGAAAACTACTCGTGAGGTTAGCAAGGTTACAACTTGTGAAAGTACAAAGGACCTAAGGATTTTCTATACCAACCATACAATCTTATCTTCGATCATTTTCATATATATTATAAACTGTACTATTCACATATTATGAGAAAAGTTTTCAATCGATAAAACAAGCTGTTTGGATTGTACTTTTCGTTTGACGCGATATACATACTTGTAATTACATCGTAAATATGTATGTACGTTCGATCGAGCAAGAACAAATAGAACACATTTTATCCAATTCTATCGTTTAAATCGATTTACGGAAGCGTGACAATTTGATAGTCCGAATGAGAAAAACGTTTGTCCTTCTTGTTTGCATCGACGCCGCTGATATAGCCACGTTACGGAACGGTGATCATAAACGAATCAAAATCCGGGAGCAATTCTATCTGAAATTAACATCGAGCTTGATTTCATTGTCCATATTTTGATTAGCCGTTCATCGTACGAATTTCATCCTTGTTTAAAATCCAAAGAATCGATAATCATTCTCAACCTCTCTCTCTCTCTCTCTCTCTCTCTCTCTCTCTCTCTCTCTCTCTCTCTCTCTCTCTTCCTCTCTTTCTCTTTCTCTCTGACGTCAGTAACATTTTACTCTGAGAAACTTTTTTAGTCGAGCTTGTTCGAGAGTTTCTACCTCGGTAAAATTGTAGCTATAGAAGATTGGTTAACACTCAACCTTATTTCAATTTTTTTTTTCCAACTTTGAAAATCGACGAAACAAAAAACAAGAGAAAGAGAGAGAAAAAAAAATAACTTTAAATTAGATCGTTAATTAGTGTCATTCAAACAACCACAATGAATTCTTTATTTTTATCATCGATCGTGTTTTAATGTTTGTCTAGAGTACTCGTAAAAAAAAACAGAGAGAGAGAGAGAGAGAGAGAGAAAGAGAGTTAGTGAGAGAAAGGGAGGGAGAGAGAAAGAAAGAGAAAAAAAAAGAGAGTAAGAGAGAGAGAGAGAGAGAGAATAGGGATAGAGAAAAGGTATAATTACGAGTTTCCCTCAAACATTTGCCCCTTTACCATAGAAATAGTTATGTAAAGAGAAAGAGTGCCTTCTAACGAGTTATCTTAACCTTTTAATTATACGCAGAGGGACAGCGATTTATTCCGACCGACTGAATCCTGGGGTCCAGCCATCAAAAGGGACAATTCGGATACTAATAGTATCATAACAACATTCTCGTAGTATCTTAACAAACTCTTAATGGATGATTTAACGAATGGATCAACTAATTTCTATTAAATAATCTTATATTATAAAATTGTTCAAGTATTAGTATTAACAGTGCGGAACAACTGGCACACGTACGTTATTAAGATGAAGAAAATCTGTCTAGCATAGCTCTCGGCATAGTAAATCTTATTTCATTACTTCTCGTTCTACGTTATATTCCGGTAGGGAACATTCCCGGCGGTGTAATTAGCCCTACTAAAATAACCCGTTATATTATATTACATATGCGATGATATATTGTATACATATACATACCTATATGTATATAAATATATATATCCATATATATAATATATCCGTATATATATATATATATATATATATATATATATATATATATATTTGTATATTTATACATATATATATATATATAAATATACATGAAAGGTATCTCGTAGGAATAGATATTACGCTAACTATACTTAATTATACTGTTTCGTGCGTTGCATCTTGTCAAGTGCTTGCATGTGCTCAGTGGGCGGGAGGAAGGGGGGGTGGTGGGAGGGAAGGGAGGACGACAAGTATAATCTGCTGCGGCAGAACTTTAACTCAAACTTCTTGATCTGCCGAAATGGAAGATTATGCTTTTGGAAAATCAAAACAAAACTATAGTGTATGTATTTTTGTATTCTTTTTTTTTTTTTTATTCGTTCTTTAGACAATTATCGTAGTAATTTGGAAATTAGAATAGAAAAAAACAAAAAAAAAAAAAGGAATAACAGAAAAGACAGAAAGAAAAGAGCTCGATTATAAATATCAAATTTAATAGCAGACATTTAACACGGTTACGATTATTTGATAAATAATTTGTACTTTTTATATAAATATCGTAACAAAATATAAATACGTGAGTGTAGTGTCTCTTATTTATTAAATTATATATAAATGTTTACGCCGTCGTGTTCCCTTCGATGTTGATCGAATCGAATAACAAAAAAAAAAAAAAAAAAAAAAAAAGGAAAAAAAAAGGAATGGAAAAAAATGAAAAAGAAAAGAATTTCAATAAAAATTCAACAACGTAGCAGCATTTTCTTTTCCTCCCCCCTCCCCCAAATCCCCCCTCCTCACTCTTTTTGTCGAATATGATTTCCTTTTGAAATTAGCTTTAAAAGCAGAAACATTAACATTAACGAATAATCACGTTAAACGGTCGGATCTCAATAAATGTGGTGAAATATTAAGTGAGTGCACTAGAGTGCTGACAAGAGAAAGGTTATATTTGTCATGCTGTATCGATCGTTTTAACGAGATGCAAAGGGTCACGCGGTGGTACTTTTATTACATTATATACTCGACCAATTCACCATGCAATTCCGTTTCAAAGTCGTTGTCATTGTCCAACGTTGTCGTTATTATTGTTACTGTTACTGTTATTGTTATTGTTATTGTTGTTACGTATTTCGTACTCGATGATAAATTTATTATCGGATTGGTCGATTTTCGATTTGACAAAATTTAATAATAATCATCAACAACAATGACGTATTTCTATATTTGTACAATTTCAAATGAACGAAGACTGAAATGAATCATTGTCCTCGCTTATTATTTTTCTATCTTTCTCTCTCTCTCTCTCTCTCTCTCTCCCTCTCTTCCTATATATATATATATATGTGTGTGTGTGTGTGTGTATATATATATATATATTTCTATCTTTCTTTTTGACTTTCATGCTCGTCTCTTCGCTGTCGGTCACAGAAGAAGGAAAGCTGAGGTGAAGCGAAGTGGCAAGACGTTTCTTGCGGTTGACGCCTCGGGCCGCGAGGATGTTCGCCGTGATCATCGCTCAACAAAGCCGGAAAAGCCGAGAATGTCGCGCGGTTTGGTCTCGTGTTTTCCCCTAATTAATGTGGGGGAAACCGTCGTTCTCCTACAGCTCGCTATGTTCTACGTTCCTTGCACGTTGTAATATTGTACAAGAGATAGAAATAGAGATAGAGATAGAGATAGAGATGGAGATAGAGATAGAGAGTGAGAGAGAGAGAGAGAGAGAGAGAGAAATAGTGAGTGAATGAGTGAGTGAGAAATAGGAAGAGGAGAAAGACGATGATCAGCAGTGGAGGAGTTTAGCTCGACTGTAATGAGAATCGTAGAACCGACTCTCTGGAACGAAAACGTTCGATCGATAAAAAAGATTCTGCGAAATGGCTCGCCACGCAAAATTGCCTCTCAACTCTGAATTATCTGTTACATGCATTTTTATAAGTTTTTCTCTGCGTGAGTGTGAACCAAAAGAAGGAGATGGAAATAGAGATAGAGAGAGAGAGAGAGAGAGAGAGAGAGAGAGAGAGAGAGAGAGAGAGAGAGAGAGAATTACATCGTTCTAACAGTGGTGTGTTAGTAACGGTGTATTATAAAACGACCTTTGCACGGAGGATAATAAAATAGAAAGCGAAGAAACAGAAAAGATCAAAAGCAAGCAGACGGAAAGAGATAGAGATAGAAATAGAGATAAAGAGAGAGAGAGAGAGAGAGAGAGAGAGAAAAGGAGGGAGAGGGAGAGTAGAAGGTGTGTAGGAGGAAGGGAGATAGGTAAGGTGAGATGGGAGGGGAAAATGAGAGCAATGATGATGGAAAAAAAAAGAAGAAGAAAGAAAGAAAGGAAAGAATGAAAGAGAAAAAAAAATACGAGAAAAAGAGAGAAAGAAAAAAGAAAAGAAAAAAGAGAAGAGAGAGAGAGAGAGAGAGAGAGAAGATAAAAAAAAAAAGGAAAGCAGGCAGGCAGGCAGGAAGGCTTGGACGCATAGGGTGTGCAATCTTGGCGTGATAACGAAGTAACCACGTAGTCTACTTTATAACGGTCTAAAGCGAAATTTATATCGCAACACTCCATGGGATCGCGAGGTATGTATATATGTAACTAGGGGATGTGTTGGCTGGGCTATTGCAAAGGCCGGTAACTGATCCGACGCAGCTGTAACGCGTAGTCTCCCTGAAATTAGGTAACAACTTCGATAACTCGAGCCGCTTATATTACGCGCCTAAGAAGGGCCGCTACGCGTATTGCGAACTTACATATACCTAACTGTATAGGTGTATGTGTTGGTAGGTATGTAAGTGTATACATATATATACCTACCTACATATATATATATATATATATATATATATATATATATATATATATAAAACAGGAAGGTCATGGTTTGTCGGTGTTATAGGAATAACAGAGTTACACGTTTACAAGCGTAGAAGTCGTTAATTAATTCCGCTTGGTGTACGCGTCGACTATAAGTCCGACCTTTTTATTCGATAATCACGGAAACGGATGGTTCTTCTTGGGCAAACTCATTTGAACGCGGTTAAGAACTTAACTCGGCACAGATACACGTCTTCATTTTACTTTTAACCAAGAACTTATAAGTTTCTATATTAGATTGTTATTCCCAACGTTATCTACGTTAAACTTTTCTTCCAATAATATAACAATCGCAATCTACTAATGCGGATTTATCATCGATTAATTGTCCTTATAGTAAGACGGATATTTACGTCTATCTATCTTATAGATCGTTCGCATAAAAGGGGATTAACTAGGTATAAGTGTCGATTAATTGCTTGATCCTACCGAGGTTTACGTTAGTATCGATTGCCCGTGTCGTTGGATTACATTGGTTTATATCTGTCTATAATGTGTAATTAATTTTAACCATCGTTATATATGTTTGATTTCCTGTAATGAATTATTACGACGATTATTATTTTTTTTATTTGCTTTTTTTTTTTTTTTTTGTTTTCGATTCATAAATATCATTTCGTTAGAAAATCGAAAAAGAATAGGATAAAAAGAGAAAGAAAAAGAAAAGAAAAAAAGGGGGAGAGAGAGAGAGAGAGAGAGAGAAGAGAAAAAGAATGCAAAAGAATGGTAGTAGAGCCGGTCGAGCCGGTCGAAAATAAAAATCATTAGAAAAGGAGAGTCATTTAGTTGGTAGATCCCGAGGTCAGCTCTCGCAATTAGTCTTTAATTCTCATTACTTTTCTCGAACGCTCGAGGCCATTCTTCGTACTCTTGGCACTGTCCGTGCTCTCGGCTGTTGCGGTCAATCGTTAATTGGATAGAAGGTGCTTGCGAATGAAGGAGCATCGCCCTCAACGTTGCTGCATTGCCGTTTAGGCGGGGCAACCAAGGCTGATGGCTTGCAAGGAAAGAAGAAGAAGAAGAAGAAGAAGAAAAAAAAGAAAGAAAAAAAGAAAGAAAACGAGCGTTGGGGGATAGGGAGGGCAGGAGGGAGGGAGGGGAAAGAGAAAGGAAAAAAAAAAAGAAAAGAAAAGAAAAGAAAAGGAAAAGAAAAACGTAACAAATCTTTCAACGCTAAATCAAGTTGCCATTGTTTTCGAGTTTCATCGAATCAGGCCGATCCTTCCCAATTCATCTTTTTGATTCTATGGAAAGGAGAGACAGTCGAAGGATTTATGAAATAGAAAGGGTGGAAATTCAGAGTCCGTTAGGTAAGTAAGATTCTTAGCGAACTTATAATTCTTAAGTAGAAAGAAGTCTAAGAGAGAGAGAGAGAGAGAGAGAGAGAGAGAGAGAGAGAGAGAGAGAGAGAGAGAGAGAAGTAGAAGTAAAAGTAGAAGTAGTAGTAGAAGTAGAAGTAGAAGTAGAAGTAGAGTAAGAGAGATGGAACTATTAGTCGACCGAACTGGCAGGGGTGCTCGCTAACGCAAGCTTTTTATTAACTCTTCGTAAGTTCTGAAAGGAGTTCGGTTGTTCCACCGAATGCAGATTTTTATTGCACCGCCTATTGTTCGCAAGACTTACACGTTTTTATGCCTTTCCTTTTTATGCCCTTTCAAGTACTGTTTCATATACATACACATCTCGTAATTTCTTTTTACTATTCATTTTCTTCTTCTTCTTCTTCTTCATTTCTTTTCTTTCTTTCTTTTTTCTTTCTTTTCTTTTTTTTTCTTTTTTTTTTTTCTTTTTTTTTTTTTATTTATTATTATTATTATTTCTTTTTTTTGTTTTTACTTTCGTACACACACACACACACATATGTATATATATATATATATATATATATATATATATATATATAATACAGCTTTATGCTGTCTATATATATATATAGACAGCACAAAGCGATAGCAACATGGGTGGTTATGCATTTTCGAGGTAGACTCGAGCGGTAAT